TTCCTTTCTAGTCCTGTATCTTCTCTCACTCAATGGGTTTTACGATTCTTCTTTCTTATTTTCATTCTGCTCCTACACTTTCCATAATCTTTATCTGTCTTGGCAGCTGGCCACACACTGCTTGAGAAAATATTTTCCCAAAGACTCTTCATTTCCACCACGTCAGAGAAAACATTTTCATGGATACAAGAGCTATTATCTTAAAAGGAAAAAAGACACAATAGCAACATTTCAATATTCATCTAAGAATTCTCAAAAGAGAGAAATGCTAATACAAATAATAGCTATCTGTCATTTCTGGATCAAGCCATCAAGTATTAAATAGAAAACTCAGTTTAATAATTTGAAATGTTTTTCCAAGATCCAACCACAACTTAAAAAAGTCAGTTCTCCTGGTTTCAGTTGGGACAGAGTTAATGTCCTTCCTAGGAGCTGGTACAGTGCTGTGTTTTGGATTTAGGATGAGAATAATGTTGAAAACACACCGATGTTTTAGTTGTTGCTAGGTAGTGCTTGCACTAGTCAAGGACTTTTCAGCTTCCCATGCTCCACCGACTGAGAAGGCTGGAGGGGCACAAGAAGCTGGGAGGGGGCACAGCCAGGACAGCTGACCCAAACTGGCCAAAGGGACATTCCATACCATGGGACGTCATGCTCAGTACATAAACTGGGGGAAGCTGGCCGGGGGTGCCGCTGCTCGGGGACTGGCTGGGCATCGGTCGGCGGATGGTGAGCAACTGCATTGTGCATCAACCTGCTTTGTATATTCTTTTACCATTATTATTATTTCCTCTTCCTTTTCTGTCTTACTAAACTGTCTTTATCTCAACCCACGGGTTTTACTTTTTTTTCTGATTCTCTCCCCCGTCCCACCGGGGCAGGGGGGAGGGTGATCGAGTGGCTGCGTGGTGCTTATAGTTGCCGACTGGGGTCAAACCACGACATCAGTCATTCGTATGAACAGCAATTATAGTACTACACAAATGAAAGGAGATGTGATTACAGCACAAAAGTGTACCTCAACAGGGAAATATAATAAGCTGCTTTTTAATCTAGTGGAAAAGGGTTAAAAATTCAAACTAGAAATAAAGTGCAACTGCATACAATGAGACTGTTCAACTAGAAAAATTAATTACTGGGGAAAATGATGAAATGTTTCAAATGTCAAGTTTCTCCAGATTACGATCCAACAGCTTTCCAGGATTTAAGGTCAACAGAAGGATAAGGCAGCTATGCACTTTGATATACATGAAGTCAAAGCAGATGTTCTAATGGTGTATTTTGGGCTTAATGTCTATTAAAATAAATTCCATATAAGTGAACACCCAACCAACTTTGCATGTCTCTTCAGTCTGGAAAGCATATTCCACAGAGGCTTGTCACCATTACACAAATAAAAGACAGAAAACCTTCAAAGAGGCCTTTCCTCAGAACAGGTCTTTTGTAAGTCAAAATGCATTTTTATTTTTTTTAAAATGAGAATTACAAAAAGGTAGAAGACTGGAAACTGCAGGGAAGGAGCAAAAGGCACAAAAAGAAGCTATAAAAAATTTAAACCAAAATACTTATTGCAAAGATGGTTGAAGAAAACTTCACTTTATAGTAGGCCCCAACACAAGGCAATTGTAAGAAAAGTAAATATTGATGAGAAGTGGAGCGTATCCCTTTCCAGCTGAAATAAGTCTATCATTAGTAAATGCCAAGTATTCTGCTTACTTTAGTTGCTTTTAATTTCCACTCGTATTGATTTCTTTCATTTTCCAGTTCTTCCACTTTAATTTTGAGGTGTCTAAGTTCCTGTAGCAAACCCTGCAAAGGAAGAACAGCAGCTAAAAGTAAGAAAACCCTGGTAGATATTTATTTCCCACAGTCCTGAATTAAAGATCACGCACGAGCCACACAGTAATGAACACTGAACCACCGCATTAAAAACTGTGACCTAGTCTAAGAAGACAAAAGCTATTTTGAATTAAGAGATACGGAATACTTTCTCAAACTCTCCACCTGAAATTATGAGCAAATTTCTTAGTTATATTACGGAATGCAGCTAGGCCTGGTGAAGTCATGTGTCTCTCAGTGAAAACGAGCCAAAAAATCCACAACTGCAGTCTCATATAACATTAACTATTGGGCTTTTTTTGTTGTTTTGTTTTGGGTTTTTTGTTTTGCTTTGTTTTTCAGCCACCTTAAAGTAAGCAGAAACATGCAGTGCTGAAAGATTACTAACTTTCATTAAAGTAACAATCCTCCCCCCAAACAGGTGTTTAAGCTACTTACCAAGAAAAGTAACACTCAGACTAAATAGTATCTAGCAAGTTACAGGCATTTAATACTATACACATACACTCAAATATGACTACAAATATGCTACTTTCAGCATTGATGTTTGCTGCTTCGCAAACTGAGTTGATGCAGCCTAGAGCTGCAGCCAGCCAGGGTTCCTAACATTCTCCATCTATTCCTCTGACAAAGTTGTCTCTTAAATGTCCCTTCTCCCTTTCCTTGACAGAACTGTATCTTATTGTTCATTCTGAAGGACAACATTATTAAATCCCTGATGGAGCTCTGATGAGACCAAATGTCTTAAAATGAAGGAATGGAAGAATTTGGAAGTGTAACTCAATTTTGGAATCCTGTATAGTATATACATTAAGCAACCTTACTAATATCTTGGATTAAATTAATGTTTATTTTGAATGACTCCCAGATTTGACTCTCAGATTATTTCCTCAATATGCAACTTGTACTGTAGACTAATCATTCACTAATTAGTTCTGAACAGAGGCAAGCTCAGTAACAATAGCACTATTTTCAAAATAGGCATCATACCCAAATGAGTTATTTTTGTAAAATAAACCTATGAGAAAAATTACTGAAAAACTCCCTCACAATGTAAGCAGATTATTTATAAAATGAGTTCTGGGGATCCAAATTTTAACCAAAGAGATGTGGCAACTAAATCAAACTGATTTAAAAGCAAATATTAAAATGGACTTTTTTCAGGCATACCAGTATCATTCCACCTTCAGTAAATTTAAGCAGTTTATGCAAAGTAGCTTTTGTTTTGACATGTGGCAGTTTTGACCAAATACAACCAGGATCTGTAATGTAAATTCAAAAATGCTTTTCTAGTAACTGCTAATGTCAGAGAATAAACAAAAACGTGTTGGATTTGCTATTTTAAAGGTCCAAGCAGATTATTTTTATTATGGCTCTTTTCATTCACTTTAACATTACCATTAGAAAAAGAATAGTCTTACCTGAAACTGTATTTTATATCTGTGTTAAACTTTTAAGATATTCAGGATTTAATAATCTGTTCAGAGGACTGGTTAGGGTGCACCATCATGCACGGCTAGAGTGACATTATCATGAGGAAAATTAACAAGCTACCAAACCATGCTAGCATGCTGCGTATCAAACAGACAAATCTCAATTAAGGAAAAAAAACCCCAAACCAAAAACAAACCCCACACCACACCAGCACTACAGACCTACAAGTAAAATGAAAATCATAGAAAATCCTGAAAGAGGTGATTGAGTCTTACAGATACCTGTGCTTTAGTAGACAGATATCAATGGTGACCAAATTTGTCCCAATAATCAGGGGTGGGGTGTCTGAGGTGGTTTTTTTTTGGTGATTTTTATGACCACCTCACTCTCTGCTAATGAAAGTCACAACGATTAATGCCAATAATTCACAACATAGCTCTGGTTAGCGGAATTTAGTTTCTGCAAGAGAAGAGAAGAGGCAATACACAGGCTTCTGCTAAGGTGTACTTCTCGTACATCACACCGAGAGCAATTCTTCTGGCTGAGAGTCTCTACCACTGATCTTGGACTAGATTGAGGACCATTAGGTGTCAAGTCTGGTTTCCTATCTTGAGACTTTCTTTCTTGGATTCTACTATTAATTTCCAGCTGCAGTCTACACATCTGCTCCTGTAGCTCACTGATCAGGTTCACTACTGACTGAAAACATGGGAAGAAAGGAAAAAAAGAAAAAAAAAAAGACAAAAAAAAAGGTGAGAAAGAAAATGATGCAAAGAAGGTATTTCTACAGTTGCAGCACAAATAAATACATGAAGCATGTCAAAGGCAAACTAAAAAAAGGCAGATGATGTGTTTCCCTTCTGATAAAGTCTATGTGAATGGGTATAAGTCTGGAATATTGCACAAAAGCTACAGTTTAAAAAGAACAAAATCTATATTCCAGACTAATTCATGATTCTGAGCCTAATGTGAAGATCAGAATCTGGCCCCTCATTTTTGGAAACTTACCCAGTCACATGAAGTCAGATAGCAGGAAAAACTGGAACATATTTTAATATGCTGGCTCAGAGGCACAATTTTGCTGAAATGGACTTGATTACATTCATTTACACAGCCAAATCATCCCCTAGGAAGAAATTGCTAAGTGCTCAGTTGGAGCCATAACCTACTCTTTCACAATTTATACACGGAATTTACTAACAAAGTAATTCTGTTTCCAGGTCTAGCATAGGTCCGAAAAATAACTCCATTACCTAGCTTGCTAGCTAGGCAGTATCTTGACGTGGAGAAAGAGTTAAGCAACATACATAGGAGAAATCAAAGGCTACCACAGAAGAAAAAGTAACGACTTTTAAAGTGCACTGATTTGCTGGCCTGCTTCTTGAAATTGTGTGTATCAGTGATACACACAAAAAAATCCAGCTACAGAAAGCAAACCAAAGACAAGTATTAAAATCTATGTAACATTTCACTTAAATTCTGTAACTCAGTAGCAAATAGTGCTGGGTATTTTCTCAAGTATTACAAGTTTGGAGTGCCTTTCTCTTAATTTTCATGTACATTAACATAGGTTTTGTGATTTCTCAATCTTCTCAAGTGGAATAAATTTGATGAGATTAATCCATCTCCCAAAGGAGTGAAAAAGTTTTTAGTGGACAGAACAACAGATGACATGGCATAATTTTTTTTATTTTCTTCATTACAATGCACAACAGTCCTCCTGTAATCTCAACTCTCTGGTGAACCAATAATCTCAAAGCTAGGGAACAGCTACTGCAAGGACAGGACACTATTCTGACCAGATAAGTATTTAACACAACCAATCTCAAACTCTATCAGCATCCACAGACAACTTTAAACATTCACAGATTCCCTTTCAAAAGTGTATGTATCAGTTAGGTAAAAGAGTTTCATATCAGTTAAGTATTTTTCTAGGGTGCTGTGCTTAAGACAAAATTCAGAAAAGCAGTTGCATATATTTCACTTTATACATATTATTCTCAACCAGGATCACAACGTCTGACGCTCATCCCCTTTCATCCAACAAACCTTTTATACATGCAAATGAGGATTAGTTCCATAAACAATCAAAAAATTCAGAAAGAGTATTGGGCCCCATCATACCAACTCTGCACTATCCAGTCTTTTATAGGCTGACAAGTTTTGCCACGGCTGCACGGGTAAGAAAAGATAGCCTCCTTCAGTATCAGCTCTCCTAGGTGAAATCATATCCTTCGTATATTCAGTGGCTGCATTAGCCACTTTGCAGCAACACAGTAGGACAATGGTGAGGAGAACGTCCCCCTAGCTAACTCATTCTCTTATCAGAACGCTGCAAAGCAGAACACCCGTAGGACTAGCTGTATGTACAATTCAGATACTATCCACAATCCCTCCATCTTCCATGCTTTGATTTTTTTTTTTTTTTTTTATCATCATTTCCACCGTCAGATGCCTCACTGAGCAGTACTGACTGGAGATTGGAATCATCAGGACACACATCCATGTCTTGCTTTCTTTTAAGCACCAAGGTTTTAGTCCGTGCTCGTCTTTGACAGAGAACACTGTTAACCCATATGAGGTTCTGAAGAACCATTGCTCAAACAAGATGCAAGACTTTTAAACACAAACTGACAGCTGCTCCAGTTGTGGCAATGTGGGAGAGTTCAGAAACACTTCTGCTGCCGCCTTGTAAGTCTTTTCTCTTTTGCCTCACATTAAAAACAGGAATGGGAAACACTCTGCGTCCACACAGACTTCTCTCAAAGCAAACTTGACAGTACAGAAATGGCAGAAATCCTTACCACAGTGAAGGATAAGAGGTCTATGGAGGAGAAACAGATGAACTCCAGCTGCAATATATGCCTTTACAGTTGTTTCTAGTTTCAAGGTAGAAAAGGCTTCTCATGTTTGAGATTTTTTCACAGCATGAAAATTTATTAACACTAACATACTATATTTTGAATTTGATTCAGGTGAGACAACAAACCAAACTCCCCAGTGGGAATCAGTGGCTTACTGACTCAAGTTTCTCTGAAATTGCAAGTAACCATGCACTAGACATTTAATTCAGAAGTGTCCACACAAGAGCCACAAAACACTTCCCAACAGCTTATAGCAAACTTCAGATCCTCAGTATGAAAAAGCAAAAGCCACAAAACTTATCCCATAGATAAGAAAAAGAAAAAGAAGGAGAGAAGGGCTGCTAAGCAAGTTGAAATGGACAATTATTCCTGCAGCCTCCTGATAGTGATAGAAGGTCTCTTTTGTCTATGTTCAGGTAGAGCAGACATCTGGGCTGCCATTAATCACTTGATAATGCTGCTCGCTCATACCTTGCTACATTAAGAAAACACATTTCCAAAATTTCTAAGGCTTCTCAGGTAAGAGAAAAGCTACACAAACTCCCTCAGGTGGGATTTCAGAAACCTTTACAGCACCACTGCAGCAGAAGTAGAACATTATTCCACAAAAAAAGGAATTAAAATGACAAAGCCAAGAGTGAGACTATCCATTTACAAGCAGCTATTCTCCCGGCCCCTCTGTTACATATAAAAATAAATGGCACTTTAAATTTAGCATGTGCTTTTGAAGAGCCAGAGACAAGTGGCATTCCGTGTGAAATTAATACCTTTGAGAGGAGGTTAGAGATGCTTGATAAACTCTTTGCTGCTAACTAAAACCAAAACTAAACCACAGCTGCACAAGTTAAACGAATCTGACACATTAGAACTTGCTCATATTTAGCAGGATATCTTAATTTGTTCTGTTTCCCCCCAACCCAATCAGAGAAATAATTCTACAGATAAATTCTATGTGACTGGAAACAGCTGCTGTGAAATAAGCCGACACAAAATTAGAGTACAGAACAAATATGTTTTAGCTGAATTATTCTGCAATGTCACATTTAATTTTAAACTTTTTAAAACCCGTTATTATATTTAGAAATTGCAGGGTCAGCTATGAAGTATAATTAACAGGCTGCTTAAAATGGTTTAACTACTGGATGCCTCTGTAACACCTGCACTAGGGTGAAAGCTGAGGACTATTACTTCTGATAGTAGCAAATCTATAAAATCACTGTTCTGCTCACCTCTGTCAATCCTAAACTCAGTCTTCAAAGCAGCAACTGACCAGCTGCAGTCTATAAGAAAGGCTCTACCTCTGTCACTCATAGCTTTGTTCCACTTACGTAAAAATACTAATTGCAATTTCATTTGAGGCATTATACGCTATAAGAGCATGTTGTAGTAGCCACGACATTCAGAGATAAAATTACAAGAAGATTAATTTCATTCAGTCACTGTCAATTTGGAGAACTGTCTCACTCTGAAGCAATTACTTTATCAAAACAGAACTGTGTATGCATAAACAAGAGCAAACTAAAGGTAGACTGTTGGCATACATAAGAGTGGTTTACTCACTAGAAGGGTGTAGCTGGGCAGTGGTGGCAAGGAGTTCAGGAAGACACTCAAAGATATTACCCAATTTAAGCAGCAGTTTTAGTCTAATAGTATAAAGAAAATATATTAATAAATTTCATTCTGATGTTTGAAATTGTGTTTGTTTGAAATTTACTAATTGAAAATCAGTAAAATTTACAGTAAAAGGAGCTGAAATAGGGTTAAAGCATTAGAATTCAAGTAAGCATCCAGTTTGACTGAAGGTAGCCCCGTTCATCTTGACAAATTGGATTAACACTTATTCAGGACAATCTGAAATAATTTTAAAAATGGCTCAATGGGCAAACCAAAACCGCTGTTTATTCCCACAGCTTTACTTACAACACCCATTCTCCTTGCTTTGTGTACACAGGTTTGCAACTTTCAACAGGCCAGGAATCTAATCACATCTTGGGGTAGTTAATAATTCAGGGCATACTTAACACAATGATTCTCAACTTTTCCATCAGATTAGAATCCTTTTCCATCTCAGCAGGA